CAGCAGGAAGCAGCTGGCAGGTGGGAAAAAAGCATAGCAGAGCAAAGCATAAACTAGAGTACATCTTCCTGCTTTGTCGCCAAGTCAGACAGCTATGCTTTCGAGACTATATGCAAATAGTTCTTGTCCCATATCCTTGGCTCCAACTCAAATCTGGGCAGAGCAGCTTTTTATTTTTTTTAAAAAACAACAGTGATACAATCAGTTCAATTAGGGATGCTCCCAGAATGCTACGAATATATCTCATCATCTGTGTTAATAATAGTGATTAATAAAGGGAAGAGCAGTGCATTGACTGAAGCAGCACATTTCTATAAAGTCTCAGAGGGGAAATCGTGTTAGTCTGTAACTTTAAAAATGAGTGGTCCTGTGGTATCTTAGAGACTAAGCAAAGAATATATAGTATCATGAGCTTTCATGGGTGACATTCACCTCATCATATGAGTTGGAGTGGAAAGAACAGAATCCAAAGTGTATATATAACAACAAAAAGCATTTATTGTCAACTCTAGGACCTGTGATGCTGAAGCTAATTAAATGGGCTGGATGCGTCCCATTCGTTGCTTCTGGTGTGAAAATGTGCATGTCCAAGACGGGAAATAGGCTTTATAGTGCAATTACGGTTTAATGTCTTTATTCAAGCCCAGGGTAACAGTTCCAAATATGCAAATGAATTCCAGTTCTGCATTCTCTCTTTATAATTGGGTGGTGAAATTGTTTTGTAAAAGAATAGCTACTTTTAAATTCTATAAAGTTAATTATTGATGAAATTTTAAATATTTGCTCTTGTGATATGTTTTGTGGTTTTATTAAGTTCATTTTTGTACAGCACTTGGAAAAGATCCAGCACTGTAGTTTCTGCTTAGTATTTTTTTTAAAACTATTATAGCTAACTATAAAATCAAAATTTACCCCCATTGTACAGATGGGAAAACAGTCGTTTTCCTTCCTTCCTATCCTTCACAAAGGCTCAACTAAATTTCATCTGTTTTTCTGAATAGAATCCCTCTTACCTATAGTACCTACTGCTAGGGTATGTGAATGCTGAAAAGTTCAAAAGCAAACAGCATGTTATGTAAGTATTAATGCAGAAACAATAGGATATTTTGATATTCATTGAAGTTTCTTCTTATCTTCCAATAAGCATTTTGCATGGGCGTGCGTGCACACATATAAATGTGTGGGGTATGTGTGTATCACATTTAATCACAACACAGAAATACATGAAATAAGAGGAGACTGCATTTGTCCTTTACACAGATCTGTCTGTATCTTAAAGGGTCTGTCTATTTTAGTTCTCAACAAAAAAAGCAGACCCACTTCTACCCCATGAAAGCTCATCACCTAATAAACTATCTTGCAGTCATGTATCACTTTAAAGACTAACTTTTTGTGTTTTACCAAGATCAGACTAACACGGCTACCTCTCTGTCTCTTCCCAGTATTGTATTTACCATGCCTTTGTCCTAGTTCTCATTAATTCTTAGTTATTTTTATGTATGAGGAAACCACCAATCTTTACAGATTCAAAGTCTGGAATTCTTAAGGATATTTATAAGTCTGTCCAATAAAAAAAAAAAATCAATGAAGTATCGGATTTGACATTTACAGGACCCTTCTCACGTCAGCCCTATTCAATTCCCAGTTACTTTATCATGGTTGCATAGGACATGATAAATAGCACCTTGATTTCCTGGTGACAGCCCTACAATACATGTGGGACTACACTGATCTGCTGCATGGGAGCAGGATATTAACACTTTTCCATTTTAAAGTACTGTGTGTAGATAAAATCATAGTAAACTAAGTGTATGTGCATATTTGCACACACAGCATCTGCTCTCTCCACAGCGAATACCTGAAGTCCAATTTAAGAAATCATTTTTCTAATTCCATAATCGGGCAGGCCAGTTGCTTCTTAATTTTATCACTTTGTCAGGTTCATCTTAGAGTATTTTAAAATTCACCATGCATTCTTTAAGCATTTTGAGTGCTTATCTATGGGACAATAAGCTTTATCAAAAAGTTTACTACTAGAGAAGCCCTGCAAAAGCCATCCTGTCAGCCAATGTAATTTGCACAGAACTTCACTATTTTAATGAAACACACCACACTCACAGAAGCACAGGAGAGTTTTAAATATAGCAATAGGCTCTCCAAATGGGTCAGAATAATGAATTTTGCAGGTTTGGTATTTATGGTTTTTTTGAATAATTTATTTTGAAAATATTAAACGATGCATAAGTGCAACATAAGTGATCATAATTCCAGAAAAAAAATACTCAGTGGTGTGAAAGATAGTAAATCTAAAACATACTTGCAATTTTTACTCAGAGTGACCCTCATTTCCCCTCAAGACCAAACTGTGTGCACGCTAAAGATGTAAAAATCCCATTTAATTAGTTAACCAGTTAAACATTAAGTTTATGGGAATAATGTGGGGCTCAGAGGCTGGAGCAGCCCACACTGGTTAACGTCACCCATTACTGGTAAGGCTTGTCAGTTAACCATTAACATCCCTAGAAAACCAGTGTAAATTCCCTTCACAATTTTATCTTTGTCCCTTCAGCTCCATTTTAGGCCGATGAGATATACTAGATTTTACACCCCGGTTATATTACAAGCCCAACGCAATTCAGTAGAGCAAGTACTTAGAGGGTTTGTTTTATTGAAGACCGACAAAAACAAGTTCACACAATTTATCTGACTATAGAAACAACAAACAAGGAACACTTTGTAATACCTATATTAGAAACAGGGATGTAGTTTCATTTTCCCATCTCATGGCTCTATAGCAGATCATTTTGTCAGGAACTAAGCAAGTTCCTGCTTATGAACCTAAGGCCCTGATCCTGAATCATGCAGGCCACTTGCATTCCCATGGAGTCTCCACTGGGAGCCCTCTGTTCACGCGCTACAAGACAGGGGCCTACAGTATGATGCTGGTGTTGATAAAGTAAAAACCGGGCCATAGCGGGATTTTCTGTATTAGTAACAAGCATCACACATCCATTCATGTTTACCTGCTGGGGGAAGACACACTGTAGCTAAACTCATCATGCTTGAGACACCAACATTTTTTTTTTTTTTTTAAATAGTAAGATGCTGTCCCTTCACGTTTTCCAACTCAGACTAAACCAACGTGCCATCTGTTCCTTTTTAATGTTCTCTGTGAGGTGCAAGCCTGGAAATAAGCAGATCTTCCCATTTCAGGAAGAGCTATATACATTCCATATTATGGAGAAGGGGATTCAAATGGCTTCCTATAAAAATAGATGTTGTCCCTGCTAGGGATGTAAATCCCACTTAACCAGTTCAACGTTGGGTTAACCTAATGTTTAGCAACCAGTTAACTGACTATGCGGGATTCTGTACTATGGATGCCGCCAGCTAGCTTGCTGCCTTCTCTTCCCTCCCACACCAACCCCACCGGATCTGGGTCTGGCTAGTTCCTGACTGCAGTATTGGGGCAGCCCTCCTCCAGGTACCAGTTCACTGGTACCTAGTATGCATTATCCAGTAAGGGCAATGCTTAACAGGGAAACTGTTAACCAGTCACCTGTTGAGTTCCCTGGTCCCTGGAGATTAAAAGAAGAAAAACCTCAAGAGAACAAAAACCCAGTCATGGAGGTCCATAATGGGGCAACGAATGCAGCCACAACTCAGGTATTGGTGAGAACTTCTTGTCATGGTGAACACTGTGCACTTCAGCGCTCTTACCGTGAAGTAGAACTGCTCTGTCTCCTGCTGATTGGCCCGTCTCTTGGCAATGCTCGGCTTGCTCATGAAAGTTTCTGAGACTGTGGATTTGACAGATTCCATGGAGTTGCTGTACTGGAAGCAGTCAGAGACATCGAAGTCCTCAATAGTGACTATGTCTTGGATGGTCTGCAGAGTGGCTTCCATAGTTTTCTTCACCTGCCTCAGCAAGGACAAAGAGGAGTTAATATAAAATAAAAACAAATGAATCGGAGAAGCAGCAGATGAAAAAACAAGGGATCTGTGTCCCAGAGCATTTTATTAATAAACTGATGACTGCCTTCGAGTCCTATGGGTGGTAACCACAGTACAAGCTTTGCTAATTAACAGAGCACAGTCCATGTAAACAACCAGCTAACAGCGGAATAAATCTGCACGACTGTGCACTGTGGAAATCCTGCAGTAAGGAAACTTCCTCCAGTGCCCTGGTGCAGGGGAAATAAGGGCACCTGAGAACTGCTAGAAAGAATACCATTTTACCCCAGTCAGTCAACCTATTGAGCTTCAAAATAAAAACATGTTTCATATTAATAAAATCTTGTAATTTGCTAAGTCTTTTACTGAAGGTGTCTTCATTGCTTGGGACCTATAAAGGGCCCACACAACCTGGATTATAAATGTGTGTTCATCCTCGGTATTCTGATGGGCTCCCCAATCAATGCTATCCACTTAATCCTCGCAGGTCACAGAGACTGCAAAGATACTACCCTTGCCCTCAGGGCTGTGTGAAGCTTCTAACATTGCAAATGCCCTATGTGTGTCCATGTGTTTATTAGCTCACCTCTTCGTTTTCAATTTTGAGCGTAGATAGTCTTGACTGAAGCTGCTGGCATCTCTGTACCAACTCACTCTGGACTGGCTGCTGGGCACAGAGCTGGGATACCTGTAAAAAAGCAGCACCTTAGATAGAGCCACAGTAATTCAACACCCAAGAAAATCATCATTCATGTGTTACGGTACTCAAACAGTCCAACGACAGTGATCGTCTCTGAATTTAGGCCAAGGCAAATCAAAGCTAAGCCCTGTGTTTTACTGAATTCCCAGCCCTTTGGAGGAGAAGAAAAGACAAGGAAGAACAAAGCAAAAGAAACAAGAGTCACTTTTAATGAGCTAATGAAACGTCACACTTGAGACGAGAGGTAGAACAGAACCCAGTGACTTCAGTGGAATCTGTCAGCTTATGGCAAGGAAGAATTTGGTCTCTCAAGTCAAGTACTCAGTAAAGAGAAAAAGCAAGCTTGTCTTGTTCACTTCAGATATCTATTCCCCAAGACCACAGCAAGGATTACTCCTGGTAACTAAGTGACAGCGGGGCAAGCTCCTTGTTAGCTACTCTACATGGGGCTCTGTCAGTGCTGGTAAAAATGCTCACGTTTGGCAGCACACTGCAGTCAGGTTCTTAAGTAAGAATCAATTGCTGAAATGATGGCAGAAAGCTAGCATCTGTTCAGGCCAAAGTTGCCAGCCAAGCAACCCATGTACATCAGAAGTAAATCTCATGCAGACAAGACCAATCCAACAGGGTTGCCGAAGAGGGGGGAAAAGAGGCAGGGGACAATTGCCTGGCACTTCTAAAGGGTCCTGAGCTCCCACCATAGCACCCAGCCCTTTAGAATCACCTCCAGAGCACTGGGTGGCATGTTCCAGAGCCCCATACTGCACACTCCGGCCAGCTGTGAGAGCCAGCTGAAGCAAGGAGGTACGGCATTATCTGGATAGTACTGAGGGGCTAGCTGCTCCAGCCCTGCCCCTTCTACTCAAGGCCTCACCCCTTCATTAATGTTTATCTGCTGGGGGAAGACACACTGTAGCTAAACTCATCATGCTTGAGACACCAACATTTAAAAAAAAAAAATAATAAGATGCTGTCCCTTCACGTTTTCCAACTCAGACTAAACCAGGGCGCCATCTGTTCCTTTTTAATGTCCTCTGAGGTGCAAGCCTGGAAATAAGCAGATCTTCCCGTTTCAGGAAGAACTATCTACATTCCATATTATGAAGAAGGGGATTCAAATGGCTTCCTATAACAATAGACGTTGTCCCTGCTAAGGATGTAAATCCCACTTAACCAGTTCAATGCTGGGTTAACCTAACGTTTAACAACCAGTTAACTGAGTAAGCGGGATTCTGTACTGGGGTGCCGCCAGCTAGCTTGCTGCCTTCTCTTCCCTCCCACACTAACCCCACCAGAAGGGAAGGTTACTCCCCTGTGCACTAACTGGAGTTCCTTGAGATGATTGTCCTCATGGGTGCTCCACCTTCCCTCAGCGCCGCTGAGCTCAAGATTGGAGATTTGTGACAGCAGTGTCCTCTGGCTGGCCACACATGCGAGGAGCCAGTGTACGTTCTGAGGAGGCCACTGTGCATGGGGGCCCCCCGCCTCCCGCACCTCAGTTCCTTCTCTGACCCAGACATTTTATTCTGAAGCAGAGGGAGGAGGGTGGGTGGTGGAGCAGTATTCGTAGGAGGAGGTGGGAGCTTTGAACACTCAGCTTGTGTGGCCGAGAGGTTTGTGTGGCCAAATGTGGTCTGACCCAGCAAATGTCAGTATCGTGTAATGCTGCGTGAAGGTATGTGTTGACCCCCATGTGGCGGACCTGCAGATGTGTTTTCAGGACACCCCGTAGGAATGTCATTGTGGCTGCCATTGGCCTTGTGGAGTGAGGTCGCACAGTGGGTGGGGTTTCTCTCTGGGCTATAGTATATGCTAGTTTAATGCCACTAGATACCCATTTTTACAGTCTTTGTTTTGATTAGGCAACCTCTGTGACTTCTCTGTAGATGAAACAAGCAGCCGAGGGGTTTTCCGAAAGGGCTTTGTTCGCTATAGGTAGAATGCCAGTGCTCTTCAGACACCCAGGGTACGGAAAGCTGCTTCTTTATTGTCCTTGTGCCATTTAGGGAAGAAAACAAGTAAGTATATGGGTTCATTGCAGTGGAACGAGGGAAGTACTTTAGATAGGAATTTGGGATGAGTCCTAAGGATCACCTTGTCCTTATGAAATATTGTGTTATGGAGGGATCCGTCATTAGGGCTGCTATTTCGCCAACTCATCTGGCTGAGGTGTTTGACACCAGGAAAGCTACTTTCATTGATATTTGTAGTAGTGAACAGCTGGCAAGAGGCTCAGAGAGTTTACCCATGAACACCTTCGGTATCAGGTTGAGTTCCTTGTATGGGGGAAACTTGTTGTGTAGACCCCTTATAAAACGATTGACCGAAGGGTGAGAGAAAACCGAGTGTCCTCATACAGGAGCGTGGAGACCAGAGATAGAAGCAAGATGCACCCTGATGGTAGTTAGGGATAGACCTGCATTGTGCAGTTCTAATCAATATTGCATGAGGTAAAAGGGAGACTGCTGGTCTGAGACTGTAGCTAGCAGCGGTTGAGAAGGAACTGGAGGGGAGTGAGAGAAGGGGGCGGGGGGAGTCAGCTGCACATGCACAATAGCCTCCTCAGGATGTACATGGGCTCCTCGCACGCATGGCTGGCCAGGGGGCACTGCTGTCACAAATCTCCAATCTTGGCCTCAGCGGCACTGAAGTACCCAAGGGAACACTCCTCGAAGAACCACCAGGCCCTTTCCTCATTGCCCAGGGACTGGCAATCCTGTCGGTTCCTTCACATCCCAATAATCCTGGGAGAGCTAGACAAACCACCTTCTGACAGACAGCCATCAGGTCAGCAGGAGACCATCAAATCTCAGCACTAGAGGTATGTTGGAGGCGTGAAGGGGTGTGATTAAAAACCGAGTTGGCTGGGGAGCCGTCCTTTTTACCTATCTGTCCATCCATGTAGGATAAAAAGGGCACTTGCCATCTCAGGGTTTTCACATGATCCTTGCCCTCACTTCCATCACTTACAACCAACAGCCTTAAGCCGTGTCTGTACGTCTCAGAATGAAAGAGCACACTGGCCGTCAGGGAGCACTGCGCTAGCCTTCCCCCCATGATCATGAGGATCAACGAGATACCCAGCCAACTAACCTGCATCATGACACTGCACGCGAGTCCCATTTAGATTTGTGAGCTGGCTTCCCATGGCTCCCACATACGCAGACACAATGGATAAAGCTGTCAAGCAATCCATTTTCATTGCCAAAAATGAAAACCCTTCACCTGCTTTGCGTCACCATAAAATGTGTGAAGCACCACCAGCCATTTGCCCTCCAGGACTACAGAGTCAAACGCTTCATAAAACAGCATTTTAAATTGCTTGTCTTGCTGGGTTTTTTCTTCAGGCAGTGGCAGGGCTCTAGGAATCAGGCTAGGTAGCAAAGGTTAATGACTCTGAATAGTGGCTTTTTTGTGGTGGAGATTTTCTTCCAATTAGCTCCTTTAATAAAAAAAAGGGCTATATATGAAGTGTACAATATTTCTCCACTGGAGCGTAGCAAGCAAGAGCTCTGCAATTCAGTCTTAAGAACGGTGTGTCAGAAGGGAAAGAAAGCAAGTGAGTTGACATTTCAATTTGCTACTACAGGTTGGACCTCCCTGGTCTGGGAGTTTGCCGGACAAGGGGAGGTCACTTCTGCTGCCAGCCTCCAGGCTCTCCCAGTGGGAGGGGAAAGGCCCTCTGGTCCCTTTTCCAAGGCCTTCCCCTCAACTCCTGAGTGGGAATCTATCAGGTAGCCTTTCTGAGGCAGCTGCCCTAAGTGCAGTGTATAACTGAAGAAGCTGCTTATGGATCCCATCTCATTCTGTGTAGCTTTCCCTGCAGCCTACACACACGATACGCAGAGGTTGCTGTCCTTGCCAACACTGTCCTGTAACACTAACGCCTCGAGGCCAGTGTTCCATGCATGAACTCCAGCCCAATGGCCCAGCCCCTGAGCCCCACCGAGAGGGGAAGTTTGGTTTACTACAGATTCCAGCCTTTCCTTGTGACTAAATAGTATGGTGATTTCTGGGCATGTTTCCAAGGGATACAGCCGAGGGTGGGAAGGAGATAAACTGACCATATCACCCATGTGGGGCTGGAACTCAAATTTCATGGGCGGGCAGAAGACACTGTTGTACATCTCCATGAGGCGCTGCTTGTCACTGTTGGCGTCCAAGTTTTCCACCGCATTCTCAATTGCATCCAGGCCCTCGTGCTTTGACTGTTCCAGGTTCAACTCTGCAGACAGGAAGGTCCTGAGGGCTCTGTTGAGGCTGGCATGGTATCCCAGGTCACAACACTGCTGGAAAACAGGCACAATGCAACGTGAATAAAAAGGTCCCTGGGTAGGGACAAGCAAAGCAAAGCAGACAGCAAATCATGGATTTTAAAGGCTTTTCTGATGGGCACGCATCTCATAGCCAAAGCAGAGGTCTTGACCACCGAGTTCTCACAGATCTCATGATCCATTGTGGAAGGGTAGGGCTGTTAAACACAAGCCAGTCAATAAATTCCTACTCTGTTATTCAACACTGTCTCCCTAACATCCACCAGTAGCTTCAACTGGATACACTAGTCTTTAAACCGCGATGGAGGGTCGCTCTTAAAAGCCTGCCACATTTCACCGCCAGCAATAGAGAATTCAGTAGTAGATTCCTATGTAGCCCTTACCTAGCAATAGAGGCAACTGACTGCTACTGGAAGCACTCTGAAATCCTTGGGTAAAAGGCACTCTACTCCTGAACATGATTTTCCACTCTCACTTTGCAGACACCGTAAGCGGGTGTCATCTGCACATCCAAACAGCTAAGCCGGGCACATGTTACGAATACTACTTTCAGGG